AGTTGAAAATTACCTCGGTGGTTCGTCGAAATCCAACCACTGTCCGGAACGTCTCCTGTTATCATACATGACCCATTTTTCATCACAGGTGACAATTCGGCCCAAAAACAGGTCGTTTCTGCTGCGCAAAAGCAATGCAGAAGGAACCTCGAGACGTGCCGATTCCTGCCGGTCACTCCGATTGTGGGGCACCCAATTGTCGAGTTTTTTCACCTTCCCAATGCGTTCCAGACCATCTGCAACAGTGGATTTGCCAAGGCCTAGCTCTTCTGCTATCTCTCGAACTGTTTGGGATGGGTCAGCCTCCAAAATCCCCTAAAATCCTCGTCAGATATTGCTTTAGGTCGACCGCTATGAGGTTCACCTTCAAGGCTGAAATCTCCAGAACGAAATTTGTTGAGCCAGTGCTTTCTCTAGCACTATTGGGCCCCCACACCTGGTTAATTTGTTGAGCTGTTTCGATTGCGGATTGCCCAATTTATAGTCGAAGAAAAAAATCGTCCGAAGTGCTCTTTTCACATGCTTGGAAACCGAAAAAAAGGGGTTCATCAAGCAATGGTGAAACGGCAATTATACCATCAGATAGCGCAAGAAATTCTCTACAGGATGTGCTACTGAGAAGCAAGGCAGAATGAGTTTTTAATCAGCAGTGAATGTACAAAAAATAGGTGCACAAAACGCTGAGAACTTTCCGGACAACCCTAATACTGAAAACCCGCCTCCCTCATAATAAAAAAGAAAAAAAATAAAATATACTTTCGAAAGTACGACCTCCTATGATGTTTCACACTACAATGCTGTTCCTGATAGCCGCCTCTAGCCACTCGCTTTAGCTTAGTGAACGTTTCGCCCACCACACAATCGGTTTTCGAAGTGTGATATTACTTATTTTTTTACTTCTTCAATTGGTCGCGTAAACCTGTTCTGTCAGCTCCAATTCGCACAAGAGTGCCTTTGGGCGACCTCAGAAAGAAATAGAAAATGTTTGATTGCAGAAGTTACGGAGAACAACCGTGTTATGTTCGATATGCTCGACACGCAAATCGAAATCCATAAGAAAGAAATTGATTTTGATAGTGTGGAAAGCACCGACTACGTTGAAGCTTATCTCAAAGAGCAGAAGCGACTGGAAAATGAGCCCGATAATGGAGGATTCACGTGAGTTCACTGGCCTAATCAGTCGAAATTGAAGCATGCATTTCAAACTTAATTAGACAGCTCTAATAAAAGCTGTCTAGGATTAGCTGTCTTTTCATTACGAAAGCTAGTAGCTGATAAAGAATCTCCCAAAGAAGAAAAACAAGCAGTGAAGCGGTCTTCTCCAGAACAACATAAACAAAATCGCTCCCTCACAGTCACACCTCCCTGCGGTCTCTGTGCAACCCCTAGCTCACAAATCTCTCTATCACATCTCGCAGTAGTTGATATCATCCAGTGCAAAAAAAGAATACAAAAAGAAAACAACAAAAACGCAGAGGAAAAACTCTTGGAAGGAAAAAGAAAATTTTAAAAAAATTCGGTGTCCGAATTCTGGGTTACGGTAGCGCACATTTTAGTGCACTGAAGTGCGTCGAGCTTTTGCACCACGAAAATTGCGTCACTCGTGATTTTTACGCGTTTCACCTCGCGAAATGGGTTGAGTTGAATGTATATGCCCCATGAGCTAAACTGCTACATAAAGGAGAGCAGACATTACTCCATGCGGCCACGAGTAGCGGTTAGCCCAAAAAGGAGATGCAAATTCCGATTAATGCCCGCCGCCCCAACTAAGAACAACTGAGTGGCCTCGTCGGAGGGCATCTAGCAAGTAAGGCGGTCCAACTGAGCAGGCGTTAGAACTAGAACTTTGAGCGGCTGTAGCTCGCTCCCGCTCACTGTGGAGTCGAATAGAGTGGGACAGTCTCTAGCTTGGGCTGTACTACTTGCACAAGGAAGGACGACCATGTACTACTTCGAGCGCGGGGGGGCTATCTTGAAGGGTTTCCAAAGCTGTAGTCTCCTCGAAATCGGGCCATTAGAGATATTAGAGATGACAAAAAATAAACATAAGGGTGTACCATTTCCTTGTCTACATGAAATCGAATGCTTCTACATAGAAAAGAGTAGAAAATCAAAGAAATGCTCCCCTCTGCGCGCGACGAAGCTGGCAATTCATGATTCTCTTTGGCGCGTCTCGCATACCATTAGCGGGTAAAGTCTATGCCTATGAAAGTCAAAGCAGAAGACAAAATTGGGAGGAAGAGGTTCTGAGGGAATTAGTGGAAGCCCTCATAATTGACAGCTCTCAATTTAGCCACGCTCAGCTGCGTAATATGTGTTTCGATTTATGGCTGGCTGGGATGGAAACTACTTCGAACACACTTTACTGGGGAGTACTGTATGTGGTACTTGATGATGAAGTGCAGAAGTCGATACACAAAGAAAATGGATACAGTAATCGGATCTGGACGCTTAATCACGAATGCTGATCGCGCCAATCTGCACTACATGAATGCAGTTATCAAACGTAAGGCAGCGTTTTCTAAAAAGCACATTTCGCGAGTGCCGAGTCGGGCGGAGGACGTATAACATTGTACCCATTGGCGCCCGCCCTTCTCCTTTGCCAGACGCTATTACCATCGCCTCCTTGTGTTGCAGAGTGCGCACCAATGAGGAACATTTGCTACGAGGGCTCGCCCCTCTTCTCCTATTCTTCAGAAATCAACATCTTTAGAACCGTTATTGCAGGAAGTCCAAAGGCTCTCTAACCTTTTGCCAGTGAACGTGTTTCATGAAACCACTTGTGATGTCGAGATCGAGGGCTATCAAATCCCAGCTGGTACACTTGTATTGCCACAGATATCCACTGTTATGTATGATGAGAAGGTGTGCGTTGCGGACTTTTATTTACTCCCATTAGTTTTGAATTTCAGTAAATCCTTTCTCTCTCAATCCTTATGAATGAATCAGGGGCGCAGTGCAGGCTGATAGCATGGGCGGAGAAAGCCAACTATTGTGCCGCTCTCATTGCTCTCTCTTGCCGTTTACTGCTGCCACATGCCACAACAAGGAGCGCACCAATGAGAACGATACAATGACTGACCGTCTCTGCCCATATCACCAGTGTGGATTGTGCTTTTAATTGCTAAGTGCTAAATTCCAGGTGTTCCCTAAGCCGTACGACTTTGATCCGCGTCGACATTTATCTGAGAACGGTACCTTTGTACGAATAGACGAAGTGGTTCCATTTTCAATGGGAAAAAGACAATGCTTGGGGGAAAGCATTGCACGAATGGAGCGCTGTTCCTATTTTCTTGCCAAATTTCCTTCAATAAAATTCGAGGTGACTTAACTCACTTTTTTTACTTTCAAGAGAAACATGATTGCCAGGTAGCGTTCCAACCATGAAGTGGATAAAATGCAGGTTACGACGTATGGCGACCAACGGCCATCAACGGTGAAGAAATTTGCCGCCACAGTACGAGCGCAGGACTTTTGCGTGGTCCTCAAGGAGAGGCATTAATGCTGGTCCACTTGTGGTCATCCCAGAGCTTCTTCACGAACGTGATTCGAATGATTCATGTATCGTCTTTTGTATAGAATTTGCGATGCTGTTCGGCTTGGGAGGGGCACATTGCACTTTCCTTAGTTCCTTTAACGAGTTCATCTTAACTAGCGGGTTTCATCTTCGAGCAAGATCTTAGAGCCTTTGTGAAGCTGTAAATCGGTACAAGTCATCCACTTCAGTAGCGGGAATTCACAAGTCTTCACAAGGTGTCCTGTACAAGCTTCGCTGAGAACCGTTCGGTACCCCTCCAGATCAAACTGCACCAAATTCCTTACCCCTGTATTATACACAACAACAAAAAATGCTACAGTTGTATCAACAGAGCTTATGCAACGCGCATTTTCAATAAAGTATTTACTACTTACTGTTATTTGAATCAGGACTAGTTGAGTATCCCCTCATGCGTTACCGCGGCGGGTCAAGAGACCGTGTTTGCCGGCGACATGGTGAGACAAACATGCGACACTTCTCAGCTAGTTGATTTGGTTTCCGAGCACTTTCGTCATGCTTTCGCAACTTTTATCTTAACCGGCATCCCTGCTGGTCTCCCGCTTTTATAAGGAGCTGGACGGCGAAACAGTGCTTCTCCCCCCTCTGTCGTTTCGTCCCTCCGCCCCCCCCTCAAACGTCGTAAGCACGGGCTTGGAATCAGGGTCGAATCGAATCGTATCATCGAATCGCGGTCAATCAGATTTTTGTGTTCCTCAACTGGTTTGATGTGGTGAAACAACAGCTTCCACACTGGCAAGCCCCTGTGTTCTTGTGCGTTTTGGCCAAATAAGCAGATAATTCTGATTGGGAGGCGATGATGCATACTATGCTTGGCCAGGCAATTCAAAAAATAACATTCCGTGATAAGCGAAAGGGCGGAGACTCTTAACTATTGTGCCTTGCTCATTTGTACGTCTCTCCTTCCGAAACCATGAAGGAGTGGCGCTGAAAACCAGCGCAAGATCACATTTTGGGAACCGCCTGCTTCAACGGCAGCTGAAGATCCTCAAAAGCAAGCTGTCAAAAACTAGTTTTTGAGTCTCTCCGCTGAACCCGATGATCGCGGAATGAGCCTTGAACCCGACCGCATCCATAAGTCAGGCTTATTGAAACATTTTTATTATACAGCACTGATAAATGGCGATGAATCGATAAGTACAGTATGTTCTTCTGATGAAATTTCCTCGATCGCATTTACTCGACGGCAATCAGCTTCATTACGGTCTCGCCTTTGATCTCTCCTACTGGTTTTCCAGTGGCGAACGGCCTTTTTGGATCACGCTCTTCTTGTCCCACAGAAAGCCGTACGAACGATAAAGCCTTGTCCATCTGCCTTTGGGGGTAGCGCTTTTCTGCAAACAGCAATCGCACTCTAACTTTCTGGCCGGTACCCAGTGGATGCTTAGGTCAACAGGGGAACTTGTTAGGCTTGGTGGGGCGCAGGAGACATTATGCCATTTCGCTGATTTCCCATGGTCTTGTCGAGCCACGACGATGGACCAGCAGGGGCAACGCTAAAAATGCCTCCCTCCCCAACAATAAGCCGAGCGTAGCGTCCAAAACATGTTCTTCATCAGCGGATTTGGACTGCACTCGATACCTTATCAATGGCAAAACTGACTGCTACGGCTAAACCCACCTTTCTCGTAATTTCGATTTCGACTGTGTAACCAATTTGTATGAGACCATACATCTGCCTTTCAGGAACGGAATAATTCGATCCAGGGTTTATAATAATCTAAAATGTGCTGGTATTGGTGCCCTGAAACAATTCCAGACGGGACCCACCTTGTAAGCCAACATCAGCGCGCAGTGATTCACCAGTTTGTACTTCTTTGTCCCGCCAACGACCGGTAATATCGCAGATAGGCGGTCTATGCTGAGTTCAACACCCATTCCAAGCGAAAATGATATCTCTACCAGGTTTGAGCTTTTTATATCACGATGATAAGGTTGTTTTTGTACTCCAGGAGCTGGAGCTTACAGCAGTAAACAATCCATTTCCACTTCGAGCGTACCGTAGAAAAAAACCGTAAGATTCAATCTCTGCGTCGCGTCAAGCGAAAGCTGTTTGCTTGCCGTATTGCGGCCGTGCGACGTCTAAGATTTCTCACCGGGCTGCGGGATATATGAATCAATCGTTTGGATCATTGCTCTAGTAGAAATAGGCAGTACTTGAAGCTCTAAGCAAGCAATGTGCGATATGCTGTCTGACGCGACAATAGGCGCGCTCAAAGCGTCTTAGCAAAAACTTACCGCCTGTCGACTGCGCTGCACTCACAAATGGACGTGTCAGTAAAGATCTCTGCCTGTCTGCGCTCTAACCACTGAGCCAGAGAAACAGAACGCAGCTGCCAATTAACAATTTGGCGCATCATGGTGGGATTGATGTTTTGCGTAGCCATGCTAGTTTTAATATATTTATTAATCTTTTCTTGGATGTCAACGTATTCTAAGGGCAGGGCGCACCCCCACAGGTTGTACACTCTGCTTTCTCCGATACAAAGGTTACGGCTTGGAGCGCCGAAGTTCAGAGTCACGTAGAGAGTGCTTGCTTTGGAATAGAAACATGTGACAACTCTGATCGTCCGCGCTTCGAAGACAGTGAGCACGATGCGTTGAGCGGCGGAGCGGGTTAGTGTCAACGTCATTGGTGAAAACGCTGCGAAAGGGCCTCCCCTCCTTACCCCGCGCAGGACTTCCACTAATGACGCTGGCAGTAAAAGCCCGCCTCCCAACCATCATGCTCACTGCCTTTAATCCTTTAGCCTGACAAAGGTGCAGAGAGTTCTGGAGTAGTCCACAGAAAATACCTTGGCGCTCTCATTTCTATGTACAATGTGAACAAGAGGAAACATAAAACACATCTCTCAAAGGGCGTTAAATCGCTCGCAACCATGGCTCGAGCCTTCTGGTATTGTTCCGCCTGAGCGTCGATCGCTGCCACACTATCTGCACTGGGAACCTGGGAACTTCTTTCTTAAGCGAAAACACGAAAGGAGAGTAAAGAACACAAAAAATAGACTTGCTGCTCCACGTTCCTTCTCTGCTCGTTTACGCTTTCTAAACCAGATAATTCACTTGTTCACGTAAGTGAGCGCGCTAACCAGCGCGAAGTAAGCATGGCGCTAAGAGGCGAGGGAAGTGGAAGGCTCTCGTCTTAACTCCGAATACCTTTGTTTGAGCTCATCATAAAACGACTGCACGTAGTCTGTCACAAATTCCTTGAACACGTCCTTGAAAAAGATGTCGTTCATCGCTGACCTGAATTCAGAATACACTGGAACTTCAACTTCAAATACACTGAAAACTGTATAAAGGCCATGTTTGAGAGGCAGGCTTCGCGGGATGAGGAATTTTTCTGGGCCCCACCGGGCCAAATTTTTTTTCTCTTGTTCCGCACAAAAAAAAGGATACTCCGGAAACCTTATAAAAAACTAAACACACTACATTCCATCCCTAAATATGTACGGAGAACGAACTGTTCTGCGGCATTTATCTTTAGGTGAGAGGAACGCGGACAAGCCAGAGATGACGTTGCGCATGGTTCTTCGAATAAGAAAGGTTTCTAGCTCTTCAATGGCGCTGCCCCTGAAGAATCGGCGGTTGTATACTTACAGTCGTCATACGGGCAGTTAGGATTATTTTGCGGGCTAATTTGACGTTGACTCCAGAAATTTCGTCTTCGAGCTCATTTTAAAAGTGGCAAGATCACCAAATCCGCTAAAAACTTGTATATAGGGGTAATTCAACATCCTGATCACGAATATGACATTCATTTTTGGCTGGCGCTAAACGACACTATGGTTACCTGCGCTCTGCTAAGGCTGAGCCCAGGAGGTAATCGTAGTGTCCTCTCTTGGCGCCAGCGCCAAGAATGAGTGTCATACTCGTAATCAGGATGTTGAATTACCCCTATATACAAAGTTTTTAGTGGATTTGGTGACTTAGGCAATTTGAAAATGAGCTCGAAGACGAAATTTCTAGGAGGTCCAAACCGGCATTAGCCGTTATTTGCCGGCTCAGAGGGTCGCCAGCGCGGCTGCCGAGCGCTTGTCACGAGGCGATCAGCCTGCTTCCAGCCTAGTATTAGCCCCACTCTTCTATCTTCTACTTATATTTTCTTCTTTTCAAGTTAAGTTGCTTTCTTTTGTCTTATATTGAAGTATCGTGCAATAGCGTAAATCTTCTTTTCGTTTCCTGTAATGAAGTGTTTTAGCGGTTTTCATAGGCCCATTTGTCTAATTTGTTTGCTTTAATTGTTTAATTGTATAGCGAAATATAGCAAAAATCTTCAATCCTAAATTTATCTCGTTAGGACAAGGAATTAACCTGCAAGAAAAGCAGCCAAAAGAAACAGTGACAAAGTTAGGGGAAGAAAATGACTTAAACCCGCGAAGGAAAAAGCTGATCGCCGCCGACAGTTCCTACGTACGCAGTCTCTGCCGCGTCTGCGACCCTTCGACGATCGCTTGATCAACTGCCCAGATGACGACTGTATAGATCACCTAGCAGCAACATTATGAAAGTCGTCGCACCGGAACTAGGCCAACATGCTCGGCTTAATGGGACGCTGTGCTCAAGGAACTTCGTCCCCCCCCCCCAGGTCCCTCATTTGACATTGTAGCACTGCTGTCCTTCTGATCTATAACAATATGCAGACTACAGTAAACTCACTGCATTTGGTCCATAATTTTATCCAATCGTGCCATAGTCCTCTGATAAGACCGTCCTACGGCGTCCACATAGAAAGGATTACTGGCATTCAATTGCATTTGAAGATCGTTGCGAGGTATGGCCAGCTTCCCTGAACAGCGACTGAGCGAAAAGGCTAAGTGCGAGCCCTGAACCTATGCGAAGACCATCAAAGACACCTCGCGCCACACCTGTTGTTGAACCCAAGAAGCGTTATCGTATTGTTGCTTCACTGTTATGAAATCCCGTATAGAATCACGAACTTTGTAGCCTGAAACTTGAGCATGTGAAGGAAATGAGTGCGCCGTTAACACCATTTCATCAATTTCTTGCCGCTAAATCCAATAAGTGTTTCAAAAACACGTAGTCCGCAGTGGCCACATGGGCGGGGTCAGACCGATCATTGCACCTTCTTCGTCAGTGCGCCTACCCATTCTAAGAAAATGGAGAGGAGGGACAGATCAGTGAAGGCCACAGTGGGTTGCACTCTCTTCCGCCTACGTAACAGCCATGAGGAATTAGCTCTCAGATAGACGAACAATGCTAGATTTCTCACCTGGAAAATGACATTTGTCCTCTCCAGAAACCAGCTGATTGATAGTTGTTTCTGATGGGCATTTGACGCACTCGCCATAATCATCTCTGCCCATCTTTCTTCTGCAACATATCCGATGTAGAAATTTGAGCCAGCGATTTCTTTGAGGAAAGCCAAGACAGAGTGAGTAGGGCAAGTGTCTCTCGAATACGGTATTCTAGGGCGGGTCACCTAAGATCATCATGGTGCCCCCTCTTCCTTTACCTTCGCAGAATGTGGCTAACACAAGATGGAAAGGCACAGTGCTTTTAATGACCCAACCGTGTATCAAAAATCCATGGCGGATCCCTGTACCATTTCCTCCCCATTTGGGACAATATATACGTTTTCTTTGGGTAAACTAGGACTGGAACTTTGACCAACCTTCAATGAACAACAGCTCTCCTAACTTCGAACTCTTCTTTTTGAACCGGGTGCTACTTTCCCCACTGCATTGTGAAGCGAAGGGCCAAACAATCTCTCAGGCCCCATTCACACTCCTCCGCACACACCACACACCTCTCTCACCCGGAGGGTGAAAATGTTGCTATGTTTACCCGCTTCCTCCGAATGTTACCGTACTGTCGATGCCTTTCAAAGCAACCACGATTGAGTGGGTGTTTAGCATATGATAGTAATCGACTAGCGGTGTCAGTCTATGGAATCACCGCTAAGAAAAGAGCGAAGCTGGGGGGGGAGTGCATTGTACAATCTCTGTCGCTGCGGTTAAAGGCAAGTTGGCACGATGGCTTCACTACTTACCCCGCTCTAAAATGCTCGTTAGCGGCGCTGTATATAGTGGGGAAATGGCGAAAGAACGGAGTGAAACGGTCAAAATCCTGCGAAGAAAAAGCCTCCGTTCTCAGTGACTTGTAAATCGATTTCGGACGAGTTTCCCGTAGGCATCTTACCAATCACCGCTACCGAAGATACGGCTGCATATGTGCACCCATGTATGCATTCCAGCATCACGGCCGTTTCATACCAATCCCTTCGCTTCATAATTTGCTTAGCAAATGAATGAATACGAGCGCCAGGAACGGTCGTCCATGTGAGGCGCGATGTATGCCACGCGGGACTGTTTGTACCTCAAACTTGGGTAATTAAACTTTATCATAAATTATAAAAAGGATAAAATAAGAAATAAATCAACTGCTCTCTACTGCGAGCTGGCCTCCTTATATATGCTTAGCCTAGGCGGAGCCAGCTCTATGTTTTCTATTACAATACCAAGATCAGCCTGCTGATAGTGATTATACAGCTTACAGGATGAATCATCTATACAATAGCTACGAACCTAAAGCTACGAATATGTACAAAAGATAGAGAGAATTCTCTATACACCGGGCGGCGGCATGTTAACAGCTCTCGCTGTGGTCAGCTGTAGTGCAGTCGGACGGGACATGTTCGGGTGAGGTGTGGTCAGTGTCCGCTCGCTGTCTTCCCTGCCTCTTGTCAGCTTCTCCGTCGCGTCGCCTTTTGCTCTCGCGTGACTCATCGTCTCGACTGTCCTCTGTGCGCCTCTCTCTTCGTTTGCTGCGATCTCTTGCGTGTCTGTTCCGATCACGTTGTGCACCGTCTTCCTCCGTCTGATCCCTGCTACGCGGTCGATTCCTGTCGTCTTTACGTTCCATCTGATGTTCCTGTGTCCTGCTACGTTTGACTCCTCGATTGTTGTCCTTTTGCCTTGTCTCGTTTTCCGGATTGCTGTGCTTCTGTCTACGTTCCTTTTCCAATCGGCCATGCAACTGTCTTCTTTCCTGCTCGAGTCGCGCTTTATTAGCTTGGAGACGGTATTTTCTTTCCCTGAGACGATCCAATCTCTCGTGCGATACCTCTTTCTCATCGTCGTCCGGCTCCCATTCCGCCTCAATCGCGTTCCTGACTCCAACGAGCTCCTTCTCAACTGTTTCTAATTCTCGCTCCGTTTCTCTTAGTTGCCGTTTGATTCTTTCCTCCTCTGGGAGGGGCTCGGCCGGCGCGTGTTGTTTTGGGACGTCCGATTGGATGCGGCTACTCCGCTCGGTGGACGGTTGGCATAAAGCACTGTGCGCGTTTTTCGACTCGAAGAAGTTCTGCAGTCTTTTGAAAAGGTCTTCACAAATTGTCTTTGCGAGCGTGTTCATGTCTTCGGTCCTTGTATTGTTCTTCTCCATTTCCGAAACACGGGTAATCAAGGATTCCGTCTTTGTAAGGAGCTTTTCCATTTTCGCTTCTACGGCATTCTGCATCTGGGTGATTTGTTCCTGTTGATTTTTTATCTGCTGCTCTAGCTGCTGGAGATGTTGTATTGCCTCATGTGAAGGGACAACAGCTGGAGCTAGCTGATCCACTTTGCTGGCCGCATGCAATAGGATGCGACCTCCTTGGTGCAGAAGATCTTTGAGGAACGTGCCGGATGCATGTCCTTTTTTGAAGAGGAGATCTTCCTCTCCTGAAGACTGAGGTCCACCCAGTTTTCTTTTCGACGTAGCACATTCAGACGTTTCTGTGCTGGTTTTTGACGAGGAAGACGGGTTTCGGGTGGGGAGGGGTGGGGGTTGGGGACGGCTTCGAGGGTTGGCCTGGGGCAAACGCTGCTGATTAGGCTTCGATTTGGTCTGAGGGGAAGAAGAGGGCAGTTTTTTGGGCTTCGATGATGCATCCTCTTGCGTCATGTCGTCACGATGGCTGCACCTTTGCTTTTTTGGTCTCTCGTCGTCGTCCCGGTCGGCTTGTCTCTGAAGAAGAAGGAGAAATCTTTTCGAATATATGGGGATATAATACAATCTACTCATGCGACAAAGATTTCAAAGCTGTTTTTCCATTCCTTTCGTTGTTTTCGAAGGCAATGACTTGCATGCAATCTTGAATATCCATACAACGATTTTGATAATTCGGCTCATGAGTCGGAATGGAGTACGTATTAACTGGATCAAGACGCGGAGTCCGCACGTCCATAGTAGTATATATCCGACGATCAGAGCTAGAGCAACTAGTACTACTGTTGATAGCAGCGTTTTGTACCAGTGCAGTATGACGTCAAAGATATGGCTGAAATCTGGTAGTATCATCTCGTTGTATACGTTACTCTCTCCCTGAGCGATACGAGCGGCGGCACCACTAAGGGTGCGCACCCACTGAAGTATTCCCGTTATCTCAAATCGGGTGGTTGTACTGCCGCACGAAACCTGACATTCCTTTTTTACTTTGGCGGACGGATGGCTGAAACGCCATATTGTCGTCGCTCCGCTCGGAGTACATGGGATCGTGAAGTATTCTTCGTCACATTGAACTGTGGCCATGGTTGAGTTTCCGTCTGTTGTGCAGTAGATTTCTGCCTCTGCTCCCTGGAGGCATCGGTAACATCCTTTTGCTACAGAATTTGGAACCATGCATCTTTCGTCTGTGACGACCTTCACCGTCCTCTCAAATTTCTCACGTAGCTGCACGAATACTTCAGCGGCCACTAGTGATGGAATGTGAGCTGTTACTTTTTTGGTGGTATCCGCTGTGAAGGTTATCCATGGTCGTCTGATAGGGAAACGACTTCCGATCTCTTTCGTGAAGGACTCTGTTATGTTGACGTCCTGGCACAGACACTTCACCTTATTTTCGGCAGGATCGCAATTGCACGAAGTGGTGGCGGTGCAGTTCAGTGTCCTAGCCGATTCCTCTGAGTCGCATTGAAGATGAAGGTGCTTGTTTTTGGTTCCATATCGCGAAGTCTTTTCCGTCTGAGATGAATGTGGACGAGAGTATGGGTGTAGGGGGTAGAGTCAGAGTAGTGAGAGTTATTCTCATCCCCTCTATTTTGATTGGTACCGTTGGTTTCACCGCTGTGGTCCTATTTGTAATGGTCTTGTGCTTGTGTGAGATGACTGTAACATCTAGGAGCACCTCTTCCTTCCATATCGAACATTTGAAGAGTTCATACACTTTCTCGTCTACTGGAACGTGAAAAATGCGATAGAAGAGACATCCGCTGCTGAGGTAGAAGCATCCACACCCGGGCCCTCCGCAGCTTTCTACACATCTGGTGATTCCAGGATACTGGTTGCCTTGACTCAATTCTGGTATCAGCGATGTGGTTTTGATTGACTCACATTTACTTGCGACGCATGAGCCAGAATGTGAGCAGCGCTTGGAGTCGATTGTGCGCTGGCTTGTACTCCTGGTGAAAAATGCGTTTGTTTTCTGGCAGGTTAACCGTACTCCTTTCCACTGGATCCGAATTTCTTTCTGCACCGTGCTGTTGTCGAAAAGTCGAATGCAACCCTCTCTGCTGAAACTGTTGATTTTGACGATCTCTGTGGTTTCCAGTGAGCATTCCTTTTTACCCTTTGATGAAATTGTGCAGATGGAGTTTTCGCTTGAGAACACGTTGATGTCCTGGCAAGCCAAGGTGGCTGAAGCAACGATGATGACCATAGCAGCTGCGATGAGTGGTGCGCGTAGCAATGTTTCGACGTCAAATCTTCTTCTGCGATGTCCTTGCCACCTACGGATCCTCCTTAAACACCAACAGAAGCCTCTGCAGATTGACCACGCTATCCTACCCCCGATACGGAACGGTTTCCCTATAACGAGTGGGACGTAGCACAAGGCGTAGAGAAGAGCGATGGCGATGTAAACGATTATAGCGATCCCTGCGATGGCCGTTCTTGGTGAACACTGGGGATTGAAAATGTTGGCAGTACACAACCAACAACGGACATGTTCACAAAATGCCACTTCCGGACAGGATGTTTCCAGTACTGTTATGTTTTGTCCGTCAGACAGTTTCAGTTGCACATGATGTTTATGTAATAGCACTTCTGGAGGAAAGAGAATCGTTTCGTTGTCCCGGGGATTGTTTGATACTTGGCAGATTCCCTCAACGCAAAGTTCGAAGCTACGTATCTGTCGTGTAATAATGGATACGCCTCCTTCGATACACGTTAGCTGTCCGCCCGATATGGTTGCTGTTGGAGATAAGGATAGGGCTCCTGGTATTATTAGGAGCATTGTCAAGCAGACGAAAAGAGTCGATGTCGCGATTGATCTACTGATTGACGAAGTGACTGCGGCTGCGTGCCCGCTATCCTCCTTGTAGCTGACTTTCCGTCGTGGGCGAAGGTTATATCGCTTAGCGTCAGCAGCCTGGCTACGCTCGTTTGCTTCTTTTCCAGGCTCGATGTGCTCTTCTAGCTCCAGCGGGACCAACAGGTTGACTGGTCTTTTGCAGAGACGACCACTTGGAAGTTTCATTTGTGCTTCTCTGATGTTTCCGTTGTTGTCTTGTGGTAGATCGACTATTCGTGCCATTTTCCATGAGTTGCGAGGAAGTACTGGGTCTGAAATCAGCACGACGTCTCCTATCCTTGGTCCTTTTGCTGCATGCCCTTTTTTGTCGATTTCGAGCTTGTGAACCTCTCTGAGACTCGTGAGGTAATGTTCTTTCCATATGACCCAGAATTTTTCTGTGAGGCGGTGGCTAGACTTCAATGCTTCTTCAGCTTCTCTGCGTGTTCTTAGTGCAATCGCTTCGTCCTGTGGAAGGAAGTTGCTATCCGATTCGTTTTCTTGCAGGCATTCGAATGGAAATGTCACTATGATGTCCCTCTGCACGAAGTCTATTGGTCTGAGTACCGGAGAGTCTTCCCATTTATCCTCCTGGTAAGTCAGCGGTCGACAATTGAGTGTTCCCTCAATTTCTATTAGGAAAGTTTCGAGTTCCTCCCTTGAAACGATCGATCTCTTCATGACCTTATAAAGGGATTGTTTTACGGATTTGATTAACCGCTCGTAGAAGGCTCCCTGCCACGGAGCATACGGTGTAATAGTCTTCCATGTTATTCCCTTTGTGGCCATAGAGGTTGCCAGAGTAACGTCGTTCACGACTGGGAGAACGGCATCTCGAAGAATTTGCTCCCCAAGTAGAAACATCGGGCCATTGTCGGAGGTGATACTCGCCGGCACTCCTCGTCTGGCAAAAAATTTGCGTAAGGCGAGAAGGAGTTGCGTGGTGGACATATCTGGTACGAGTTCGAGATGCAGCAGCCTGGTAGTGGTGCAGGTGAGAATGATTCCGTAAACCTTCCGAGCAGAATCCCCAATCTTTGCCATGAGCGGGCCAAAGTAGTCGATGCCGACGTGTTCGAAGGGTCGCGTCCGTCGTATGCGCCTCTCCGGAAGGTCACCCATGTCAGGGTACTTGAACGGTAAGTTGTTTACTTTCTGACATGGGACGCACGATCTGAGTTCGGTTTTGACCATCTGTCTCAGCTTTGGGATCCAGAATCTTTGCCGTACATTGGCTATCGTTTGTCCGGTGCTGCAATGGTACGGCAGATGTGCATCGTTGACGATAGCCCGAGCAAGACCTGTCTTTGAGGCGACCAACATGGGGTGCTTTGTATCGAAATCCATGTCTGCCTTACCGATTCGCCCTCGGCAGCGCAGGATCCTGCTATCGTCCAGGTAGATATCCAACTGTTTCAAGGCGTTCTGCTTTCTGGACTGAAACAGATCTGTTGGTGGTGTCGCACGATGACTCGTAGAGCCATATCCCTCTCGATTGCTGTGACGTATGGTTCCGTAGTCATTTGTTGAAGTTCTGGGATGGCGCCTTCTAGTTTTTCTCGTAATTTGTCGTTAACCTTTTTGGAGAGTTGTCGGATAAAGCGCAAAACGTATGTGCCCTTTGTGTGAACGAAGTGAGTTTATTGCTCCTCGTCCAATCTAGAAGGTCGGACGATGTCGTCGTTCCCACATAGGTCGTTGCCAATGTGACGTTGTTGCCCTCCTCAGTTGTTGATTCGGGTAGTGTGAAGAGGTCGGTCTCTTTTGGCCACTTTTCCACTGTTTCCTTGATGAAGCAGGGCCCATGCCACCAGATGTGTGCCTCGAGTTGGACCTTGCTGACGCCTCGCGTGCCGCAGTCAGCTGGATTGTCTGACGTACTCACGTAGCCAAATTGTACAGGCAGCTTGAATTCCTTCAAGATGGCTCTTATTTCAGCTACTCTATTTCTGACGAGTACGCCTGCTGCCGTATCCAGGTTTGTCGCTCGTATCCAGCCTAGTGCTATTTTCGAGTCTGACAGGATCACAATCCGCCTGATATTGGCTTGCTGGCTGATGGCTCGGAATATTGTGTGCGTCAATCTCACAGCCATAGTGAGTGCATTGAGTTCAAGTTTCGGAACTGTGGTGTTGATTTTCGATGCTGGAAGCTTGGATTTGCCGCAAATGATGTTACTGCGATCCCCTGTGACAAGGTACACGCATGTAGCCATTCCGTTCGCGCTTGCGTCTGCAAATCCAACTAGAGATGACGATTCCTGGATCTGCGCTATTTTCCGTGGAGTGTTGTCTCAAATCCATGGGCATCTGCGACGATTTCTTCCCACTGTACCTGGTGTTCTTCTGACAACTCCTCATCCCAGTCGTACTCGCTCTTCCAAAGTTGCTGGAGGAACTGTTTCCCTCGTAGTGTGAGTGGTGTCAAAAGCCCCAGAGGATCATAGATCGAGGCAACTTGCTCGGAAATCACCCTCTTTGTCAACTTTTCTTTGGGGCGATATCGACACGAGAGTAGGAGTTGATCGTTGCAGGTGTTCCACTGCACTCCTAGAACCTTTTGGAGAACATTTGTACTCAAGTCTGCTGTTGCTATTTGGGCGTTGACGGTATCCTCATTCGATCGGTACTCGCGCAAGTTCATGTTGAGTTCTTGAAATAATCCTTTGGAGTTAATGTAGAGCTGCAGTGCATCGTCTGGGCATCGTGCCGTTAAAATAACGTTGTCGACGTAAGTGTTTTCACTTATGTTCTGCGCTAGCTCCTTATTCTTCACTGAATTGTTCAAGTGGTGCCTGATGGTTCCCGCAAGGAGAAATGGTGAGCAATTCAGCCCGAAGGTCACTCTCGTGAATCGATAAGTGACAATGTTGGTGGCTTTGACGGGCTGAGCGATGTCGCGTATCCATAAGAATCGCGTAGCGTCTCGATCTGTCTGGTGGAGTCTGACCTGAAGAAAGGCCTTTTCTACGTCGCTGACTAATGCGGAAGCTCCGATTCTGAACCTCAGGAGAATGTCGCATATTCGCGGTAGAAGGACTGGTCCTGGGTAGAGTACGTCGTTCAATGACGGCTGCCCTTTCAGGTGTGCCGAGGCATCAAAGACCACCCTCAATTTCGTGGTTTCCTTGTGCGGAGTGAGTATAGCTTGGTGAGCGAGATAGTGGACGATAGCACCATCACATCTCGCCGTCTCGTTCACTTCCTCAATAACGCCTTTTTGAAGTTGCCTCTGGATGGCTTCATCGTACTGCTGAAAGGTAGTCAAATCGTTGTTTAGCCTTGCAATTGTTGCCTCCAATCTTCGTACGGCTATTGCCTTGTTATCTGGCAACTTTGCCGCATCTTCCCTCCAAGGTAATCTCACGTGGTATCCATCTTCTTTTTTCTCAATTGTTGCTTCGAACATTTGCCAGACTTGGGCATCCACGCCTTTGCGTTCTTCTGAACATGGTCCCGTGAACTCGTGGACTCCTGAAGCCTCGAAGGTGCAGTAGTCTTCCCATGACTGCTGTGGTATCTCTGGGTCTTCAGGCGTGGAATCGAATTCAACAGTGACGTGTGGCTCATCCTTCAGGCTGTCCTCTGGTGGGCTATCTTTAGTGTCTCGACCTGACACCAGATATCCCAATTTGGACGGTAGTAGACGGAGGCCCGAAGGAAGTGTTGTCTGCTCCTCGAATCCATGGTCAAGCAGGGAATAAAGGTCTGCGCATCCAAGCAGAACAAGCGGTCGTATTTCCTCTACCTCTGGATCGATGGATAGGCGAATATTCCTGTCGCGGAGAAATATCTGATCTTCCCTGCTGAGAGCGCTACGTCGTAAGGGCTCAGTGAGTGTGTCGATTCTCGTGACTACGATAGTGTGGGCCGTTCCTTGAGCATCCCACATCTGGAGTTCTGTTACACCGCAAGTCCGTTTCAAGGGCTCTGAAGACCCAAACGTATTAATGGTTCAGTTCCACTGTACTGACATTCTGGAGTTGTAACCGATCTGCGAGTTCATTGCTTATGAACGAACGGTCTGCTCCGGTGTCGAGCATGACATGGATGGTCTCCAGTGCTTGGTCCCTTGTGTTCCGGACATAGGCTTGTCCGACAAGAATGTGCACACTTGCGGAACTTCCTTGGTGGTCAATATAGACCGCTGCTCCCTGAGCGTCCTCCTGCGAAGGAAGTTGTTCCGTCAAAACGGGATGTACCTTCGTTGCCACCGAAGTTCGCGGTAAGGAGCCTTTCTTCGTTGGTGTCTTGCTTTGGGATACCGGTTTGTCAGGCGCTGTGTTCGGTTGCCGCCGAGGTGGTCCTGATAGCTGTGGACATATAGACGTGTTGTGCCCCTGGATGCCGCATAAACGGCATGCCCCTGCAGGGCAGTATTTTGCCATGTGGTCCTTTAATCCACAGTTGCGACACAGCATCTTCTTCCGCATGACCTCGAGGCGCTCTTCCCGATTTTTTACGATATTGCAATCCTTTGGCGTGTGATCGCGCTTGTCGCAGTAGAAGCAGACGTAGCCCTTACTTGCGCTTGAGAACTGTGGACGGGTTTTTCGTGGTTCTTTTCTTTCTCCTTGGGCTGTCTTCTCTTCTTTTTTGTCGACTCGTCTCATGACCCTGAGCTCAGTTGTGATATAGTCCTTTACACATCCGAGCATTGCTTCCGTTGACCATGTGCTCTCGGGCGACTGGAGCTCCTTTTGACGATGAACGTGACGTTGGATACTCTCCGTGAACTTTGCCAAGAGCTGCTTCTGCAGAAAAATATTGTCGATATTTTCCCCCTTCAGATTGAGCTGCGTCGTGAGAGATGCAATCTGTTCGCAGAGCTTTTCCTGATCCTCCAGACGATCGCTTAGGCCTTGTATTCTTTGGAGTCGCCGCACCATTTGGTCTATCAACGTCTGGGTGTTGCCGTACTTGTTCTTCAAGTGGGCCACTATGAGCGGATATGTCCTTCGAGAGATCTCGAACTGCTTCACGGACTCTTTGGCGTCTCCCTGTAGCGCATCAAGGAGATAGTTCAACTTGTACAGATCGTCCATCTGTCTGGAGTGCACCGCATGTTCGAAGACTCCCCAGAACGTTTCCCATTCCCAAATTCGTCCGCTGAACTTCGGAATGGGGATGGGGGCCAAGTTCATCAGCGGTGCGATTGGAGTCCGTTCCCCTGCGTGTATGGGACGC